GGAGGGGTATGAGAAAGGAAAGAAGGGAATGGAATTAATATGAGAAAATGAAAAAATGGAAACAAAGTCTTTGTAAATAGGGAGGAATGGAGGGTTTGAAGGGAGGGCAGGGGAAGGGGGGAAAAAAAAGAAACAAGTGAGATTATATAAAGGTGCAAACTTACAATGATGAATGTCATTATATTGTATACCTGAAATGTACCAATAAAATTAATTTGAAAAAAAATTAAAAAAATAATTACTCTTACGGTTCTGATTTATAATGATCACATTTCCTTTGTTTCTACATATTTAACTTCTGCTTTAAAGAATGACATTGTTTACTAATCAATATGATGATATATGTTCCTATTTGGTAAGGTTTCACTCTGAGTTTTAAAGTGTCAGTGGTGTGACTTTCTGTGGTTTGACCTTCTGCTTCCTTCCTTGTTGTGCCATTTCATATGTTCCTATGACCTTTCTTTCAGTTCAAAGTGAGGAAATTCAATTCAGAGAATTTAAAAATATTTAAAGTTATTTCTTTTTTTAATTGAGGGGGAAGTTGAAATATAAATTGCATTCACGTGTTCTCCTTTTACAACCAGTTTCCAGAGGAGACAGAACTGGACCTTTTGTCAGTAAGTATTGAAGGTCCATCTCCTTACTCATCGGATTGTGTTCTGTGTTCAGTTCTCCCAAAACTCCTGGACGCTTTTCATCAAACATTCCTTTCGAACCTGAAGAAGCCAGGCGAGATGACAGTTTGTCTTCTACCAGTGAAGACTCTGAGAAGGATGAAAAGGATGAAGACCATGAGGGGGAAAGGTTTTACATTTACAGGAAACCCTCGTGAGTAACCTTTTTATTTTGAGATTCTTAGGTACTATTTCAGAAGCTAGAACTGAGCCTAAAGCTCTATCTGATTTATTATGTACAAAAGTTTCTCTAAGTATGCCTATTTGAGTGAAAGAAACTAAGAGACATCTCCATGACTTACCAACATAATTTATCTTCATATGGTATTATTATTTTTTAATTTAAATAGGTTTATTCAAAACACATTAGTTATTTCCCCGAGATAATCCTGGTTGAGAGAATGGAAATAAAGATGGGTTACAAGTTAAGATACAGAGAAGGCTGTATTCTTTTTTAGCTTAAAATGTAACATATTTCAAGGAGACACAGTATAGTATAAGAAAAATAGTAAAGGAAAAGTGTTTAGCTATAGATGAAGAATTTCCACAAACTCTTGAAAGAAAGAAGATGAGATGGTATTAAAAAAATAAAGAACATAAATGAAATCTTGCTCAGAATTTGCCCTCAAGAAAACCTGAAAACCTTTAAAAGAAATCTACTTAAATGATATTGTGACAATAACAGTAATATTCTAGCTATGGCAATGATGGGAAATTGGCTGACATGAGAATAGGAATTGAAAATTAGCCTATGAGAAACTGTCCTCATCTTCAATCTTCTTCATTCTGAGCCATGAGGATTCTTTCCTCCTTTTCGGAAACTGAAGCCCCTTACCTCTTGAATCTCTTACAGCAGCAAATTTTGATTTATTCCCTCATTTTTCTGGAATATATCCTCAAATAACTTTCTAAGAAACTTGGTGATACAAACCTACTTTTATTTTTTTAATCTCTAAATTTACTGTTCTCATTTTTGATTGAGCACATAATTCTAATCTAATAATCATTTCTTCTAATAAAGACTATTGCATTATCTTCCAGCATGAATATTTAGCATATCATGGTTATTCTTTTTAGTTCTGTAAATGTGACATGCTTGCTTCTTTTTTGGATATTTTATGTCTGTTTCTACCTGACAATTTTTAGGGTTTTTAAAGTTATATTTATGTTCCTTAGTTTCACAGCGGTGTGTCTAGGTTTGAGTCTTTTTTGAACAATTTTTCTAGGTAATAAAATGCCCAAACTGTTTTATTTGGTTATAGGAAATGTTGTTTTATAGTTGTTCCAATAAATTCTCATAGTTTCTTCTTTTAATAGTAATCCCGAAAGTGAGACGTTTGCCCTCCTGGACAGATACTCTATTTTTCTTATGTGTTCTACATTTCCTTTTTTTAAAAAAATTAAGTCTTGTTTATTGAGATAGAATTTACATTAGTGTAGCCTTGTTTTTCAAATGTACAATTTGATAATTTTTTTAATTTTAAAATTTTAAAAAAGTTTTGATAAGAATATTTAGCATGCAGTCTTCCTTTTTACAGATATTTAAGTGGGTGATACAATATTATTATCTGTAGGCACAATATTTTATAGCAAATCACTAGAATTTATTCATCTTGCATAACTGGAACTTAATACCTATTTATTAGCAACCTCCCATGACAACTATGAATGTATTTTTTGCTTCTATGATTTTGACTATCTTAGCTACCCCATATAAGTAGAATAATGTGGTATTTATCTATCTCTGCCTTTTTAATCTTAGTATAATGTCCTTAGGCTCATTCATGTTAGCACACAGTACAGAATTTTTTCTTTTTAAAAGTTGAATAGATTTTCATTGTATGTATATACCATTTTTGGCCATTCATCTTTTGATAGATATTTAAATTTACCCACACATTTTGTATATAATGGAAAGTGGGTAGAATGAATAAGGAAATGCTGTCTTTAAGATCCTGATTTCATTGGTTAAATGCTATAAGTAGGGTTGTTGAATAATATAATTCTATTTGTAATTTTTTTGAGGAACATCTATATTGTTTTCCCTACTGACTGCACCATTTTGGATTCCTACCAACAACAGACAGGGGTTCCATAATCTCCACATCTTTGCCAATACTTTAAAAAATAAATAATAGCTATTCCATTGTGTGTGAATCAAATGTGACTCCATTAGGCTTAGCATAAGGATCAGTTAGTATGAGCTAGTTGAATAATTTATGTGAATATATATATTGAGAAAATTTATCAACTTTCCATTTTACTACAAGATAATGATCAGATATGTTTTCTGTAGACATACATCTCATAAAAAAGCAACAGGCTTTGCTGCTGTTCATCAGCTATTTACAGAACGCTGGCCAACAACACCAGTCAACCGAAGTCTTACTGGCACAGCTACTGAGAAAAATGTTGACTTTGAACTTGATATATGGGTTGAAATTGATAGTGGAAAATGTGTACTCCACCCAACCATCCTTCTACAAGAACATGATATAAGTTTGAGAAGGTAAGAAATTGGTTGAAAAAGAACATATAAAAATATAGAACTTCATCTTTTAGAAATACTTATTCATATGTCTCTGAATTATAATAATCTTTTTCTGAATCCCAAAATGCAGTTTAAAAGGTATTTGTAGTCATCTAGTGATTATTTATATAACCTCAAATTAAAAAAAAAAATAAATGCATAATTTTTTTGGTAACTATAAATGAATATCTGATGTAGATGTGGTAAATTTATTAATTAAAATAGTTATATCTTTGGAATTTTTTCAACAAAGATAAATTGCTTGGGGTCTACCATTGTGTATGTTTCTGTTTTAAAGAATTGTACAATTCTCTTGGTTATTGAGAGTTTTGATGAGTTCTTAATGAAATAAGAAAGATTGAGAAACATTAGAATGAAATGATTTCTGGTTGTAATTTATAACTTACCATCTGTTTCCAACATTAATTATACAGTGATATAAGCAGGTTTAATATTGGGTTATTTTTTCCTTGAATTTTTGTTTTTCTTTCCTGATGAATGTAACAAAAAGTCATATTTACAATTGAATGAGTGCATGGAAATGTAAGTAAAACAAGAATGGCAGAACGCTAGCAATTGTGGAAGCAGGGTAGCGAGTACATGGGGATTCATTATACTATACTATTTACATTCTATTTACTTTTTATGATTGAAATACTTCATAATAAAGAGTTTTAAGTGGTCTATTTGTCTTACACAGCTTTTATACAATGAGACAGAAATAAGACTAAAACTGTTGAAAAAATCTTTTACAAATGTAATAATGTTGATAAAAATAATGACTATGAGGTTATAGTTAAAGCATAATAATCCATAACTGTTGGTAATTAGCTGGTGTTCTACCTATATAAAAGGTAGTTTCATTTGATGCAACCTACTATGTTTAGGTGAAACAGTTGGGACCTAAGCAAAGAATAAAGGTTGCTACCCTACATAGTTAAAAAACATCCAGCATTAGTATCACTTCTGCAAAGCATTAACCAGTCTAGATAGAAATACTGATAAGATTTTTTTCAATTTTCTAAATGAAGGATTACTTTCTATTTATTGTATAAGCAAAAGTTTGCTGTTAAGAAGAAAGAAAGGGATCTGGGGAAGGAAGAAAAGGGAAGGTTGGGGGAAGAGGGAATAAAAATAATCAAAATATGTGATGAATGTAATTATTATGTATTGCAACCATATGTTAATAAAAAACCAAATAAAACATTTTTCTCTTCATAGGAGTTATGATCAAAGTTCCAGGAGCTTAGATCAAGATTCTCTTTCATAAAAGAAGAAATTCCAAACTAATTATGCTTCTACCACCCATTTAATGACTGGCAAGAAAGTGCCATCATCTCTACAGACAAAACCTATTGACTTAGAAACAACAGTATTTTATACGCCCGGAGTTGATGTAAATGTAAATACCTAATTGTCTAGGATTAGTGTATCAATAATGGTGGTTTTTATTTCTTATCATATATGTTCTTCTTTTGCTCCTTATACTATAAAACTTTCTAGGTTTTTTTGGTCTATGTAGCCATATTCTGAACATAAGAATATATATATATAGGTTGTCACTTCATTTATACAGCTTTTCCCATGAAATTTGGCAAAAAGAAGTTAAGTGTTTTATGTATGTGTGCATAGATGTGTATAGATGTGTGTCCAGAGCATACTTGTTAAAGCTGGCTTAGTGCAACGTCATTAAACAACCATTTTTTAAATTCTAGAATTATAAAATCTTGGGCTATTAATAGAGGCAGTAGAAATGGATGCTGCCTGCATTACTGGAGCTGCATGGTGCCATCCTTGAAACCTCCCCCATGGCCATAGATGTGATATGGTGGATCGACCCCATGTTAATTTTTCCTGTTAGTGCTTTTGAGCCATTTCAGATGAATCCCATTGGTTGGGTGCAGCCATAACACAGACAGGATGCCGCTTCCATTACGAGAGTGGCATGGTGCCAACAAAGAATCATCCCCGGTGGCAATAGATGAGATATGGTGTATCAATCGCATGTCATTTTGTCCTGTGAGTGCTTCTGAGCAATTTCAGAAGCATCCAGTTATCTGGGAGCTGCCGTACAACAGACTGGATGCTGCCACCATTACTCCAGTGGCATGGTGCTAGCCCAGAATCCTCAAACGTGGTGATAGATGTGATATGGTGAATAGAATGCATGTTATTTTATCCTGTGATTGCTTTTCATTCATTTTGGAAGCATAATATTAGCTGGGAGTGTCCGTACCTTTGACTGGATGCCACCTCTATGACCCAATCCCCATGGTGTCAGACCAGAATACTCCACGATGGCAAAAAACAAGATATGGTGGATTGATCGCGTGTAGTTTTTTCCTATGAGTGCATTTACACCATTTCGGAAGCATTCCATCATCTGGGAACAGACATAACACAGACCGGATGCTGCCTCATTTTCCGGAGTGGCATGTTGCCAGCACAAAATTATCACACGTGGCATTATAAGAGATATGGTGTAAAGAAAGGATGTTATTTATTTCTGACAGTTTTTTTAATCTATTTCGGTATCATCACTTTAGATGGGAGCGGAAGTAGCACAGATCAGATGCCACCTCCCAACTGGAGAGGCATGATGTAAGTCCGGAATACTCCATCATTGCAATCGAGGTGACATGGTGGATGGAACGCTTGTTAATTTTCCTGTGATTGCTTCTCAGCAATTTTGGAACCATCCCAGTAGCTGAGAGTGGCCGTATGAAAGACCGGGTGCTGCTTCCATTACCAGAGCGTCTTGGTGCCAGACTGCAATCCTCCACCATGGCAATCGATGTGATATGGTGGATTGAATGCATGTTATTTTTTCTTGTACATCCGTTTGAGACATTTCAGAATCATCCCAATAACTGGGGGCAGCTGTATCACAGACCAGATGCCTCCTCCATTAGCAGAGTGGCGAGATGAGAGTCCAAAATCCTCTACCATTGCAATACATGTGGTATGATGGATGGATCGCATGTTATTTTTTCCGTTGAGAGAATTTGAGCAATTTTGGAAGCATGGAGTAAGCTGGGAGAGGCCATAAAACAGACCAGATGCCGTCTCCATTACCGGCGTGGCATGGGGCCAACCCCAAATCCTCCAAAGTGTCAATAGATGTCACATGGTATATCACATGCTGGTTATATTGTTGCTATGAGTGCTTTTGAGCCATTTCAGAAGCATCCAATTATCTGGGAGCTGCCATACAACAGACGGGAGGCTGCCACCATTACTGCAGTGTCATGGTGCTAGACCAGAATCCTCAAACGTGGTGATGGATGTGATATGGTGGATAGATCACATGTTATTTTTTGCTGTGATTGCTTTTCATTTATTTTGGAAGTATAACATCAGCTGGGAGTGGCCGTACCTTTGACTGGATGCCATTTCCATAACTGGAGCACCATGGTGTCTGACCAGAATACTCCACCATGGCAATAGATACGATATGGTGGATCCATTACAAGTAACTTTTCAATATGAGTGCTATTACGCCATTTCGGAAGCATTCCATCATCTGGGAATGGACATACCACAGACAGGTTGCCGCCTCCATTTCCAGGGTGGCAAGGTGCCAGCACAGAATCCTCCACTGTGGCAATAGATGTGATTTGTTGGATCGATCTCATGTTATATTTACCTGTGAGTGTTTTTGAGCCATTTGGGAAGCATCCCATTATCTGTGAGTGGCTGTACCACAGACCTGGTTCTACGTCCATTCCCGGAGTGGCATGGTGCCAAACCAGAATCCTCCCCCATGGAAATAGATGTGATATCGTGGATCGAATGCATGCTACTTCATCCTATGAGTGCTTCTGAGATGTTTTGGAAGAATTCCATTAGCTTGGAGCAGAGGAATGATGGAGAGGTTGCCACCTCTATTACCTCAGTGGCATGGAGACAGGCTGGAATACACCACCATGTCAATAGATGTGATATGGTTTATCAATCGCATGTCATTTTATCTTTTGAGTGTTTTTGAGTGATTTCAGAAGCATCCAATTAGCTGGGATTGTCCGTACCTCAGATTATGCTGCCTCCATTACTGGAACTGTATGGTGCCAGACCAGAAACCTCCCCTGTGGCCATCGAGGTGATATAGTGGATTGATAGCATGTGATTTTTTCCTTTTAGTGATTTTGAGCCATTTCAGAAGCATCCCATTTGTCGGGTGCGGGCAGAATGCAGACGTTATGCCACCTCCATTACCAGAGCGGCATGGTGCCATCCTGGAATCATTGCCGGTGGCCATAGGTGTGATATGGTGTATCAATCGCATATCATTTTTTCCTGTGAGTGTTTTTGAACAATTTTGGAAGCATCACATTATCTACAGGTAGGGGTTACACAGACCGGATCCAACTCACTTACCTGAGTGGCATGGTGCCAGCCCTGAATTTTCACATGTGGCATTACATGAGATATGGTGGATTGAACGCATGATATTTTTTCCTGTACATGCCTTTCAGACATTTCAGAAGCATCCTATTAACTGGGAGCAGCTGTATCACAGACTGGATCCTGCCTCCATTAGCAGAGTGGCAAGATGAGAGCCCAAAATCCTCTACCATTTCAATACATGTGGTATGATGTATGGATCACGTGTTATTTTTTCCATTGAGTGCTTTTGAGCCATTTGAGAGGCAACCAATTATCTGGTAGCTGCCATACAACAGACCAGATGCTGTCCCCATTACTGGAGTGGCATGGTGCTAGCCCAGAATCCACAAACGTGGTGATAGATGTGATATAGTGGATAGATAGCATTTTATTTTTTGCTGTGATTGCTTGTCATTCATTTTGGAAGCATAAAATTAGCTGGGAGTGGCCGTAGCATTGACTGGATGCCACCTCCATAACCGGAGCCACATTGTGTCGACCAGAATACTCCACCATGGCAATAGATGAGATATGGTGGATCGATCGCATGTAATTTTTTCCTATGAGCTCTTTTACTGCATTTC